TGTGCAGTAGAGGGAGTTGCAGCAATGAGGAAGAATTAGTTGCATACAGGATGATTTTTTTAAATTTTTAAAGGAAATTCTCAATGTCAGCTAAGAGAGATACAATTATAAATATTTTTTCAAGCATTTATGGACATTCACCAATGTTCTACCATATTCACCAACATTCAACCATATTCTACAGCATGAAACAAATCTGAAAAATAATTTTTTAATTGCTCTCTGATCATTACAGAACCAAATCAGAAGTCACTAATGGAAAGAGAAGAGGAAAATTTCCAACACTTGGAAATTTAAACATGGTACTAAATTTTTCGATCAAAGAGGAAGTAGAAAAGGGAATTTTTAAAAATATACAGAATTGACTGAAAGTGAAAATACAACAAATGAAAATTATGTGGGGCACAGTGAAAGTACAAGTAAGAAGCATGTTAACAGCACTAAATGCTTACATTAACAGAGGAATGGTTATCTAACTTTCTACCTCAGGGACTAGAAAAAGAAAAGTAGTCCAAAGCAAGAAGGAAAGAAATAACAGGAGAAAAAAAAAAAATCAGTATAACAGAAAACTGGAAAAATAAAGAAAAGTCGATGAAACAAAAAACTGGTTTTTTGAAAAAAAAAAAATCCATAAATTGATAAAGCTAGCAAGACTAACAAAAGAGAGAAAACACAAATCATTAATGTCAGAAATTAAGCACTACAGATCCTATGATCATTAACAATACAATAAGGGAAGACTAATAACTTTATCCTCATGAATTCAACAACTTAGACAAAATAAACAATTCTCAAAAATCACAAACTCCTAAAGCTCAAGCAAGATAAAGTAGATGTAAATAATCTTATAGCCATTAAAGAAATTGAAGATTTAATGTAAAAATTCTTCAAAGAGAAATCTCAAGGCTCTGACATCTTCACTGGAGTCTACAAACAAACATTTAAATAACAATTAATACCAATTTTCCACAATTGCTTCCAGAAAACAGAAGAGGACAGAACAATTTCTGACTCATTTTATGAGGCTAGAATTACCATCATACCAAAACCAGACTAAAACAGTACAAAAAAGAAAACTGCGAACCAATACCTATCATGAACTGTGATGTAATAATTCCCAAAATATAAGAGCAGGTCAAATTCTCCACTGTATAAAACAATTATAACAAATGAGATTTATTACAAGTATTTAAGTCTTGTTCAACAGTCAAAAATAAATCAGTATAATCTACAATATCATAGGCTAAAGAAGAAATAACTTACACAGAAAAAAGGTATTTAACAAAATCCAGCATGTAATAATAAAAACTAGGAATACAGCTGGATACAGTGGTTTGTACCCATGACACCAGGGAGACTGGGGCAACAGTATAGCTGAAACCAGGAGTTTAGGGCAAGCCTGGGCAACACAGGAAAACCCTGTCTCTTAAAAACAAAGAATAGAAAGACAATTTCTCAATCTGGTAAAGCAGCTGCAAAAAAAAAAAAAGATGTCAGACTGAATGCTTTTCATTTAAAATTAGATAAACTACAAAGATGTCCTCTCTCACCATTCTTATTCATTAAGTACAAGAAGTCCAAGTCAACAATCATGAGAAAAGCAAAAGACATACACACATTGGAAAGTATATATTTGCAAATTTCCTATTTGCAAATGAAGTGATGGTCTACATGAAAGAACCCTAAAAGAAACCAGACACAGCGGTGCAGGCCTGTAATTCTACCTACTCGGGAGATGGGAGCAGAAGAATCACAAATTTGAGTTCATCCTAGCCAGCTTAGGGAGACCCTATAAAATGTTTTTAAAGATCAAGAGATAGATAGGGAGGGGAAGGGAAGGAAAAGGGGATAAAAAAAGGATTAAAATGTATTATGTACACGTAGCAACTCTCCACAAGAGATGTAAATATAATGTACTACAAACATGCACTGTACTAATAAAAATGATGAGGTAGGGGGCTGGAATGTAGCTCAGTGGCAGAGCACTTGCCTAGCACACATGAGGCCCTGGGTTTAATATCCCCTCCAAAAAAAAAGTAGTAATAACACAGCAAAAAGTCCTAAACCTAATGAGTGAATTCATCCAAGGTTTCAGGAATCAAGATCAACACACAAAATTCAATCATATTTTTACATACTATTAACAAATATATGAAAACCAAAATCAAAAGTATAATACTATTTACAATTGCTCCTAAGAAAGCTAAATATTTAGACAGTAAGAAAATATATTGACTCTGCATCCTAAAAATTACAAACAGCTACATAAAGAAATCAAAGACCTAAGCACAGTAATTGGAGAGACATACTGTATTTGTGGATTAGAAATGCAACACAGTAAAAATTTTAATTCTTAAAATTGATCTATAGTTTGATATAATATTCAGCAGAGTTTTTGTAGACATTGGTAAGCTAAGCCAAAATTATTACGGAAAGAATTAGCACTAGAAGAGCTAAAAGAATTTTGAAAAAGAATATGAAGTGAGAGAAGCCACTCTTCTCAGTATAAAGGCTTATTAAACTTTATCTATACAATAATCAAGACAGTTGGAAGAAGAGTAAATACACAGGTCAATGCAAAAATAAAGGAACCCAGAAAAAGACCCATACAAATATGTCCCCAATGATTTCTGACAGAAGTGCACCAAAGATTTCAACAAATGATGGTAGAGAAAATGGACTTCAAGAGGCAAAAAGTTTTAAAAATCCAAATTAGATATCACACATTATACAAAAATTAACTAAAAATGGGTCATGGACTTAAAAGGAAAAGAATTACATACTGATCTACTTTAAAAGTTCTGTGAAAGGAATGAAGAGATAAGCTATAAACTAGAAAAAAGTAACTGTAAATATATCCAACAATAGATGTATATCTAGAACATATATATAAAGAATTCTAAAAACTCAGCAATAAAAACCCAAACCTTCCAATAAGATATGGACAAAAAAAAATGAACAAATACTTCACTGAAGAAAACACAGATGGAAATAAGCACATGAAATAAAATTCAACATCACTGGCCATTAGAAAAATGCAAATTCAAATGAACATGAGACATCACTAAATAGTTACAAGAATTTCTAAAATAAAAATTAATTATAAAAAATTTGTTAGCTAAAATACAGAGAATATAGGTCTTTCTTGCATTGTTGGTGGGAATGTAATATTGTACTACCTCTCAAGAAAGTAGTGCAGCAGTTTCTTACAAAGCTAAACATGTTCTTGTGATACAACATCCCAACGAAATAATAATGTTATGTTCACACAAAAAAACCTACATAGGAATATTGATAGAAGCTTCATTTGTTAACTGTCAAAAACTGGACAGCAACCATGATAATGTATGCCTTTAATACCAGCTACTTGGAAGGCTGAGGCAGGAGGATTGCCAGTTCAAGGCTTAGCTGGCCAACTTTGTAAGACCCTGTCTCAAAATAAAATATAAAAAAAAAAAATGGGGGGGCAAGATTTAGCTCAGTGTCACCACGCCTGCCTGGCAAATGCAAGGTCCTGAGTTCGATCTTTGGTACCGACAAAAAAAAAAGGAAGTGGGGAAGGAGCTGAGGATGTAGACCAGTGGTGAGGCATGGGTCTAGCAGCTGCAAGGTCCCAAATTCAGTCTCGTGCAAAACACACAGACAGACACACTCACACACACAGACACACACACAAACAGGCACAAAATTGGTAACAACCCAAATGTTCTTCAACAAGTGCATTCATTTTTTTAAACAAACCATGATACTTCTAGCCCATGGAATAAACTATTTTAAACTATTAAAACATTTAACAACTTGGATGGATCTAAAAAGAATTATGGTGAGCGCAAAAGCCAATCTCAAAAAGTTACATACTACATAATCCCATTTCTATGACTTTCTTGAAATGACAAAATTGGAGAAGAACAGTTTAGTGGTGGCATAACAATAGGAAAGGGCATAGGAAGGAAAGTAGCCATGTCCTTAAAAATACAGTCTGAGTGCCGGAGATTTAGCTCAGTGGTTCTGTCGCCTGCCTTGTAAGCACAAGGACCCGAGTTTGATCCCCGGTACCAAAAAAAAAAAAACAAAATACAGTCTGAGTGATCCTTGTAATAGAATCATTTCATATAATGGTAAGATATGATCAAATAATATCTGATCAAATAACACATGAACATATAAACATGATAAAATTGCACAGAACTAAATACATATACAATGAGTATATGTAAAATTGGTGAAATCTGTACATGACTATGAATTCTGTCAATGTTAATTTCCTTGTAATGTTGTTCTGCAGTTAGTTAAAATGTTATCATTGGTGGAAACTGGGTAAAGGATACATGGGCTCCATCCATATTATTTCTAACAACTTCAAATGAGTCCACAATTATCTCCAAATAAGAAAAAAAAGTATTCTGTTGTTACTTAATTTGCTTCTGAGTCCTGGATTAGAATAAAATAAATGACCATGGGTCTGATGTTGATAAAAATAAATATAGCGAGAGATAAATAGGGCAAAAAAAGGATAGCTCATCCTTAACCAAGAATTCCAATTAACAAATGTAAAACAATATGAGAACTATAAAGTAACCATAAAACATCACTGTAATAGTTGTTCCATTTTAGTTTCTCAGATAAATGCTTATCATAGTAAATAATAGTTTCAGAGCAAAAAGTATATTTGAATAGTTCCAATGGCTCTTCCCAAAAATATTTATTATGATTTGGATAAGCACACCCAAAGGCCCATCTATTAAATTAAAGACTAGACCTCAGCCCACGGTACAATTGGTGAAGTCTTTTTCAAAACAGAGCTAGTAGGAGAAAGTTAGGTTATAAAGCGTGAACCCTTGGGGGAGGGGTGAGTGTGTTTAGAGCAACACAAAATGTCTTTTTTCTAAAAGTCTCTTCCTCCACAGATAAATAACATAATGACATCAAAACATATAGCAATTTTTGTTTTCAAAGAGTTGTCTCTCTTAAAATGGATTTCATATAAGGTTTTGTCTTACCTGGCCAGTTCTTTGATTAAGTTTGCAATGCGTCTTTTGTCTTCAAGACATAAATCCTTCAATGATGCACTTTTCATTCCCTCCTTGCAGAAATTCTAAAACAAACAAAAACAATTCTGGTTTTCTAAAAACAATGTTTAAGTCTTTTTGAGAAATCTATTAAAATAAACACGGAAAGTGAAATTTTTTAGAAATCTTTTATCTGGTGGGACACTAACTCACTTCATTTAAACCTACTGGGAACTCAAAACAGGCTAAGGAACTGATTGTAAACCAGGAAATATCATGGAAATTACACAGAAAAGCATACAGAAAAGAAAAAAAAGGGAAAGAAAAGCATACAGAAAAAAAAGCCACTTAGAAGCAGAAAGTGTTACTGATCCAATTCTAAAGAATATAAGGAAATAACTTTCCCTCATTGAAGGTCAAAAGAACAAGTACCTAATAGAAAATATTGAGAACCTTTCTTAAACTACAGCCCCTAGGCTACTTAAGGGTACACTAAGGTTGACAGAAGAAGCACCAAGTACTAAGCACTCAAAATATCCTAAAGTTCATTCCAAAGGGTACTAATTCAATGAATAATAATTACAGTAGCTAACATTCAAGAATAGTCCTACTTTGTGTTATAAATGGTGCATGTGAAACCACTCGCTTGAGACAGGCTTTTGTGAGGGAAAAACTTTATTCTAAAGTTTTTTATTCTAGAGACTAAAACTGGGGATTAAAATCAGGGATAGATTTTAGCAGCTAGCTGGGAAAAGCTACATCCATGTGTGGATGGGTTGACATTGAGAGAGAAATATCAGCAGCTGGGCGAGATTTCATCTGTGGGTGGATGGGCTAACATCAAGAGAGTGATAACTGGAAAAGGAATTAGGCTTATCTAGGTATTGAAAGGGGGGGATACGATCATAAGCAATATTTATAACAGAGACTAAGGACAGTCAGTCCAGGTGTGTAGACAATCATTCGACTTTTTGGTGCCAGAAGAATGTCTATTTACTGAGAAATAGCCTGTTTTTTACTGAGAGCAGCCTGTTTGCGTGGCCCTGTTTGTTTGTGAAGGTCTCCCTTAGGCCAGGCATGACACTTTGCATTTATTACTGTTTCAATTTAATAGCAATGCTATTAGGTAGGTACTACTCGTATTCTATATTGGTAATCTTGCCCACCGATATAGCAGCTTAATAGAAGAGTCAAAATTTAAACACGGGTTCCATAGTCTGTGCTCTTAAATACTACACTACATCACCTTTTGTGTTACATTCTCCTCAGTACTTTACCGGTACTGAGAGGTCTTTAAAGCCACAAAACTGAAGGAATCATGAGGGAACCATAGGCAACATGTAAAAGGAAGAAACAATGACTCTTAGCATTTGTCCAGCTACCAAAGTAAGTCACTCCAGTTATTTTGGGTAGCCAAGAATAACCCACAACCCATCAAATGAGTCCTGGAAATAGTAAAAGCCATAATCCTGTGAAACTGTCTAGGTAGGAAGCTGGGAAGACAGGTCTGTCTCTCAAGTCAGAGAAAAACACAAAGATTTAAAAGTCAAAAGAGAATGCCGTATGGATGATGGTTACACTTTTATTTCCTTTGTATTTTTCCATGTTTTAATTTTTTAAATAACTATACATAACAGTAAAATTAAGGAAAACACTAGATTTTTTAGAAATCCAAGAAAATTTGTATTTGATTTCAATTTCTATTTTTAATTTGTATTTAAAAAGACAAAAAGAGAATCAGAAACATATATTACAGAAGATGAATAAATCTGAAGAAGAGTGTGGTTATCAATAGTGCTAATGTTCAAAAAAAAGTCAGACTGGAGAAAGCAGACATTGGATTTGGCAATGGAAGAAATTCCTAGTAACTCATGAAAAGACATTTCAGTAGTGGTGCAGTTAAGCGAAAGATCAAACAAGAGAAACTCTTGCACACAGGTGAGAATTTTAGCAACCATTGAGGTTAACAGCAAAAATCTTAACACAAATGTCTATCATCTAAAGACAGCAAACTGTGGTATATTTATACAACGGAGTTCTATAGGTACTGATTGTTACTCTGCTGACTTTCATCTGTAGTTAAACCCACACATCTATGCTCTGCTTTGTGATGCTAAAACTGAGAGTATGGAAACCTTTTTTCTCCTTTGCCACCTGGCTCTCTGAAAAACCTCTGCTGACAGAACTAGATTAAGACAGAGGTTGTTAGAGGGAAAAGATCATACCCCTTCCTTTTACTGTCAGTGTCATAGCTATCTGAGTTATGTACCCTGACAAGAACATCTCATTATAATTTGCAATTTTTTTCTAGCCCTTGCAGAACCAGCCTTCTTAGTTAAACCAGTCAGATTGGTTCCCCATCATCAGAAGTCCAAGTTCTAGTTTTAAAGGGCCTTCCCCTAGGTTTTTAAGTCTTAAGAGTTCAAACCTGTTTTACCTATTTACCCACCCCTAGAGATGATGGTTGTTGCTTGCAGTTGTTACCTTCATAATACCTTAATGTTCCCTTTTTGCCTGTTTGGCTTCCCAGAGCCTACATAACAATTCTTTATATTAAATATTTTCAGTTAAAATAACTGAATAGGACCTAGCTGAGACATCAGTAAAAAGAAATAAAACACATGGGCCAGGGATTTAGCTCAGTGGTTCCATTGCTTGCCTTGCAAGCACAAGGACCCGAGTTCGATCCCTGGTACCAAAAAAACCCCAAACAAACAAACAAACAAAAAAAAGAAATAAAACAGCTATATTCAACATAAAGAAATTTCACAAACATAATGTGGAGCAAGAAGCTAAAATGAAATAATGCAAATGTTAAGAACTCATCTACATACAGGACCTAATATATATAAAACTAAACTTTTTTTTTTTTTTGTACCAGGGATCGAACTCAGGACCTTGTGCTTGCCAGGCAGGCGTGGTGCTACTGAGCTACATCCCCAGCCCAAAACTAAACATTTTTTAAAAGCAAAATTGGCTCTACTCTATATAAGACAGGGCTTGGTAAACTACAGCTACAAGCCAAATCTGGCCCATTGCCTGTTTTTATAACTAAGGTATTTAATACATACCCAAGCTTACTCATTTACATATTTCCTATGGATATTTTCATGCTACAAGGATAAAGCTGAGTAGCTGAGATAGATCTTGCAATCTGCAAAGGATACAGTATTTACTATCAGGCCCTTTGCAGAAAAATCTTGCCTGTATCTGATATAAAAAACAAAAAATAATAAACATAAAATTCAAGACAAGAATTACCAAAGAAGATATAACAAGGGAAGGACACATCTTACAGTCACTTGATTAACAATACTGGCATCACTGCAATTTATTAGGAAAAAGAAGGATCTTCTCAATGAATGGCCTCGGCCAACAGACTATCAGTATGGAAATATGAACAGTGATCCTTATTTAATGCCGTATGTACACACTAATTCCTGATGAATAGTAGGTTTAGCTGTGAAAAATAAAGCAATACAGTTGCTAAAAAAGGGAACCTGCTACAAAGAGTGCAGTTAGCTAATGGTTCCCACTTTCCTGCAGGATCTACTGCAGTAGTCATGCCAACGGCAATGACTGAAAACAGCAAAGACACTAGAACTGGATCATTTCTGCTTCAATTGGCATCCTCAGAAGACAGTATTTTGCTCTAGGGTTCCTGACAAGCATCATGGACACTATCTCACACTACATCTCAAGTCTGAGGATCTTCCTATTCAAGTTTCCTTCTTTTCTTCCCTCACAAGTACCAGACCTGAAGATCTGAAGTTTCTCTTTGACAATACCTGCTCATTTACCCTTGTAGACCTGTCCAATCTTCTGGCTTGCCTGGACTGCTGACTGAAGAGGAATTATCTTGGGACCCATACAAAATACACAATACAGTTAATATATATAAGTAACAAAACTCCCTGTATTATTCTATATTTGTTATTGTAACAGTTTTTAAAAGATAGCAGGTAGCCTGTGGACCCACAGGTTGCCTGCAGGCTTTCCTTCCTTAAAATCTCTTCTATTTCTAATTCATCTTGGAGTTTACTTCCCAGAAAACTAATGTGGAACTGTTATAACCACCAGTATGAAAACCCTAATGAATCAAGGATCTAGATATTGTACATCATTTGCTACATCATTTGCTACAAAGATCATCCTTAGAAAAAAACAAAACATTACGTCCTTCCATGAAAAACAAAACAAAAACAGCACACTGCCATTTCACCTTGAAAAAATAAATAAATAAACATACATAACACACCTCACATTTAGGACATGTTCTCTTAGCCAAATGAGTAACAGAGACTCACTGACAAAACCTGACAAAATACAAGAAACAATTTTTTTTGTTGGAAAGCAGGCAGCACAGGATGATCACTGAAAGTGGGGAAACAAATAATGTAGCCCTACAATTTTCCTAGCTAATTATCTGTGGAGGGTTTTCAGAGAACAAGGTAGACAAATCCAGATAGAACCCAGCAATTTTTCTGAGTAGAGGAGAAAAGACAAGGTTTCTAGAGTTTGTAGAGCAATAAAAGAAAGGATAAAGCTGTATAGAAAAGCGCTTGGAGATAGGCAGAGTACGTTTAAGTCAACAGGTGAGCATTAAGCAGAGCATGTGTATGAGGGAATTATGCAAACCCAGGGGAAAATATCCAAATTGAACAATGAATATAATTTTAGTACCTAAGACACTATTTTAAAAAAGCCCAGGTTCTCTCCAGCCACAGTGGAAAGCCTTGTAACTGAAGGGGCCATCTCAACTGTTCACAAGTATTCAGAAAGGTATTGCCTACTACAGTGGGCAGAATTAGTCCTATCTAAAACTGCCCTGGCATCACCTTTAAAAGCTTAAAATCAAGACTGGAAAGAATCAAACTAATTCCAAATGACACTGTTCCAAAACAAATCTCAGGATTATTTCTAGAAATAAAAGAATATCCAGAATACAAAAAAGTAAAAACTCACTGTCTGTTGGCACCCAAACAAACAAACAAACCTAAGAAGGCAAAAAAGCAAGAAAAAAACAATCCATAATTAGGAGGAAAATTATTCAGCAAAAAGTATATATAAATGACTTGGATGATAGAATTTAGTACACAAAAACATTAAAAATTATTATAACTACATTCTATATGTTTGAGAAGCTAGAAGAAAGATTGAGCATGTTAGATAGAGTTATGGAAGCTAAAAATAAAGGCCCAAACTGAACTTATAAAGATAAAAATCTACATCATTTCATATGTAAAACATACAGAATGGAATCATTGGCAGGTTAGATACTACAGAAGAATATAATTAATGAATATAAGATACAGCAATAGCAATACAAAGATAAAGAATAAAAAAATAAAAATATAAACAAAGTAATGAACAGAGGATCTCAGAGCTATTGGATAACTTCAATCAACCTAATATTTGTGTAACTGATGTCATCAAAAGAGATGGAGACACAGAAATGTCTGAAGAAATAACATAAAAAAGTAGCCAATATGATGAAAACTATAAATATAAAGACTCAAAAAGCTTAACAAACCACAGCCAAAAGAGATATCTATTTAGAAAACTACTCCAAGGCAGACAACAGTCAAATTGCTCAAAATGAATGATAACAAGAAAATCTTAAAAGCAGGCAGAATTTAAACACACACACACACACACACACACACACGAGCAAGGAGTAAAAGTAAAGATGACAGACCTCTTGAAAGCAATGCAAGACAGGAAGCCCAGCAACATCATTTAAGCATTCAAAGATATACAATTATCAACTCAGAATTCTATAACCAGAACAAAATATTTTTCAAATATGAAAGGAAAATACATTTTAGGCATACAAAAGCTGAAAAAAAATCATTCCCTGTGTACCAGCACTATAATAATAAAGGAAGTTCTCTGGGGAGAAGAAAAATGTCAAATGGAAGTCTAGATATACACAAAAGATACAATTACATACATGTCCAAAAACTGATATACAAATGACCAAGAAGTTCACAGAAAAGATGTTCATCATCTTTAGTCATTAGGAAAAGGCAAATCAAAATCACAACAGACTCCCACTTCACACCCACTAGGATGGCTATAATAAAAAAACCACAAATGCTGGTGAGAATGTGGAGAATTAGAAACTGTATACATTGTTGATAGAAAAGTACCCACTGTGAAATATAGTATGGCAGTTTTCAAAAACTTAAACATAATTACCACACAACTCAGTAATTCTAGCAATATTCCAAGAGAAATGAAAACATTTTCACACACAAACAAGTATATGAATGTTCATGGCAGGAGTATTCTGAATAGCTGAAAAGTAGAACAATGCACATATACATTAGTTGATGAATGGATAAACAAAATGTGTATTCAGCCATAAAAAGGAATTCAATAAAGATACATAATAAAACATAGATAAACCTTGATATCATAATCACACTTAAATCTTGTAGACAACTAAACATCACCTTTAGTAACAAACTAGATCTTAGAAATGTCTTTAAGAATACAAATTAGGGATTGTGAAACTTTCTACAAAGTATCTGACGGTAAATGTTTTTGGGTTGTTGGCATACACTCTCTGTAGCAACTCTGTCATTAACACAAAAGCAATTACAAACAATACCTAAAAGAATGGGCATAACTGGGATTTAAACAAATTTTATTTACAAAACAACCAACAGAAGGATTGACCCACAGGTCATAGATAGAAAATCCTGTCTTCAATTTCAGTTGAGAAGAGAAAATATAATAAAAAATTAAAATAAGGAGAGGCGCAGAGCCCCGCCCAGTGCCGAGGAGGTGAGCCTTTTGCCCCATGGTACCACCGCCCCCAGTGCAGAGGAGCAGAAGCCCCCAGTATCCAGCAGCTGAGCCTTTCAGGCTGCTGTACCACCACCCCCAGTGCAGAGGAGCAGAGCCCCACCCAGTGTCTAGGAGGTGAGCCCCGTAGGTGCCAGCAGCACAACACCCCCCATCCCCCACCCCCCACTCCCACTGTGGAAATGAGAAGACAAGTAAACAAGTCTCAAAACTAGACTTCTAGATCACCTAAAGCAGCCCCAAAGGGAAACGAGATGGAACAATCTGATACTCAACCACCTGGACTCCCTGAACTGGCAACAAAAGAGGTTCTGGAAAAGTGAAATCAGAAATAATTTCTCAGATAACAGCAGAGATTGTGCCCATAGTGCAAGACATGATTAATAAATCTAGAGAGGACACAGTTTAAAAGATAGAGGAGCTGAAGAACATGATGGAATCCCTACATAGGAAACAAATGGAATCCATAAAACAGATGCAAACAGATTTCCAGGAGATAAAAAACTCCATTGAAAGTTTAATAAAATTAATAAAAAATAAAATAAAATTAGTAGGTCAGAAATCCTTTGGGCAGAAGAAAATGTCAAATGAAAGTCTAGATATACACAAAAGATCCAACTACATACTTACCTGAAAAATGATATACTAATGGCCAAGAATACAGATACTATTATAAAGACAAGCAAGAAATCAATGACTAGGCTATAAAAAGTAAGAATATATTATTTGCCAAATGAAGGTAATGATAACAATAATGATAAAGGCTAATTTTCTTTTTTTAAATTTTATTTTATTGGTACATTTTAGGTATACAATATAATGACATTCATCATTGGAAATTTGCACCTTTACATAATCTCTCTTGGTTCTTATTTTTCTCCCTTCCCCTGCCCTCCCTTCAACCCTTCATCCCTCCCTCTTTACAAAGACTTTGGTTCCATTTTTTCATTTTCTCATATTAATTCCATTCCCTTCTTTCCTTTCCCCCACCCCTCCCATTTCCCATTCCCCTTTGCCCCTTTTCTTCCTATTTCACATTATCTATTACACCTTTTAGTCCTTATTTACACTTTTAGTTTCTTACACTAGAGAAAATATTCCGTATTTACACATGTGTGTCCTATTTATTTCACTTAAGAGTATCCAGGCTAATTTTCTTTAATAAAATATTCTTATATAAAAGGGTGCACCCATCAACAAATTCACAAGAAAATCATAAAGGACACTTAATTTTAAGAAAATTCTTGTTAATCTGATTTACTAATACCACATAGATCAGAATGTAGATCTTTCAAGACATATTAAGGTAAGACATTTTCTTTACCTTCTTTTTTTTGTCTATTAATTTTAGCGGTATACTTTAGGTATAAAATACAGTTACATTCATCATTGGGATCTTGTACCATTACATGAGTATCTTGGTTCTTATTTTTTCCCCTTCCCCTGCCCTCCCTTCACCCCCTTCACCATTCCCTATTTACAAAAACTTTGTTTCCTTTTCTCATATTTTTTCTTTTCTCTTCTTTCCTTTCCCCTACCCTTCCCACTTCCTCTATTCCTTTAGATCTTTTCTTCCTATTTCACAATATCAATTATACATTATGATCCTTATTTACACTTTTAGTTTTTCACAGCAGAGAAATTATTTGGTATGGTAATACATTTTCTTAAGGTTTAAAATATGTCTAGATATTTGGAGCAAAACCTGTGAGTAATCTAGACATTTTATATTCATATTCAGTATTATCAAAGAAGTCTCTCTACCTTTTATGAATGCTTATAGGTCACCTAATGTTCTTTTAATTAAAGGCTTTTCCACACTTATTGGTCAAAACTTATAAGAACTGACTAATAAAAAAAATTTTAAAGATTACTGACCTGTTCATCTACTGAATCTCCTGCACCTTTTAAAGACTCCATAGAGATTGAAGCATCAGTCACCCTGGAAGTCTTAACTTTAACATCAGCTTTTAGACTTGGCAACTTGTGTCTTGATCTCATATTTCCTTCTGTAGAAATTCCTATGGGTTTTTATTAAACGAGATTTCAGAAAAATTGTATCTTCTTATTCTCTTAAACCCTCCCCGCCATCAACCTCTTTGTTGGTACCCTCTACTTTACGGAATGATGAGAAAGATTTCCTTCATAAACTTCATTTTAAAGCTCTCTTAATACATAATACATCATGAAAAGGTTATGCTTTAAATAAATACTATAAAACTTCAATTGAAATATTTTAAAAGGTGCTGTGAACATTCATAAGTCATACTAAAACCAAATAATTACATGCCACAGACACCTTAACTTAGGGGGAATCAAAGACATCACCTAATTAAAGTGCTTTCAATGATTCCATTTTACTATTCATCTAAAAACAACCATTAAACGTTAAAGAATTTCTTACATATACCTGTATCAAGAAGTGTTCACACTTTCTTTTGAAATGTTAAATTTAGACTATTATTCATTTAAAACATTTAAAAAAGAATCTGTTCCTTAATACATGAAGTATCCTTCATTAAATAGATCTGACTCAATCTAGATAGTTCCTAAGAGAAACCAATATTTCAAACCTTGAGAATCTGGTCAAATATCTGAATTTTTAAATTTGCTTTGAAAAATAATTTTAGGTTCTGATGGACTGCTACGTATCCAGTTATTCCTATGAAGGTGTCTTAATGCTTTGTTTTCTAACACCTAAGAACCAAAGAAGCTTCCCAAATTTTAACATAGAAAGTCATACCTGGAACATACACTACTGATTGTTCTTCATCAGAAACTTGGAAAGAGAACATGAAGGAAAATAGTATAAAAGATTATAACACTTTCCAAATGCCGCTTCTATTATATACATGTTATATATAGTTTTTCATCTTTTGACCTGCAAATTGATAACTATCAAAAACAAAACTAGAAAGGCAGGTAACTGAATTAAATGTAGCAAAATCCATACTTTAAACAATTTATAAAAATTTTGAAAGGCCTTGTTCCACAAAAACTTGTATTCATTACCCAAGTAGGATATCTTACTATATAAACTATTGTCAAGTTCCTTTCCTTTTGTAAACAAGTAGTTAAGTTTTCCAGTTTGCCCATTATTAAGAAACTAGCAAGTTATTTTCTCCTAACACTTCCATATATGTAATTTTAAGATGAGCTTTGGTTGTGAAGATCAAACACTGTTTGGGGGCAAGTCAATCATGCAAACACAAAGGCAGTATTTATTCTTCTACAATGCATGAAATGTCCCAAAAATCCCTACTATCGAAAAAGTGGAAGAAATTAAGACAAAAAAAATTCTTTTTGAATTTCAAAAGGAGAAATTTAGAAAGGCGAAGATTGTAATACTGCTTCAAAAAGAGAACCAAAATAATAAAAAGATTTCTTTCTGGAATCAAAATCATATTCAGAACTATATCTAAATGCAGATATGCCCAAATTTTGGTAAACATATACTCCAGACAAGCGGCATCGAGACAATTTTCTTTCCAAATGATCTAGAAAATTTCCAATGTTTTCTGTTCTTTTACGAAATGTGTTCAAAGATTTTTATACAAAGCCAATTATTAACTATGGCCTTCTGGAAAAGGCAAGAGTAGGTTTAATAGCATGTTCAAAAAGTTAATGTACTTTAGTTCAGTATCAACCCTAGTAATGGAGTCTTTCCTGGCAATACTGACTAAAAATGCCTAGAATGGTGTAAGAATTTTAGCAACATTCATATGTTGCTTACTGTCTGAGCTGCCAGTTAGTTTTTCATACCTCTCTGCAGCACCTGCAGTATCACAGTGTTAATATTTATGCTGATAATGGGTCTCTGTAAACTTTCAGTTCCCTCAGACTAGAGCTTAGAAAAGGAGACACATAAGGCAAGTAAATAAAATTAGAACCACTATGCCAAAGAAATTACAGCAACTAATATGGGAGCAGAAAATGTTTAAATTCACTGCACACAATTTTAAAATAGCCTTGTAAAATAAAAGTGTTCAGGCTCATCAAAGACAAAAACTGATTCATTTTTTTACATCCCTTAGGATATGATACACACAGGACCTCGTACACACAATTGGCACTCAATAAATGTTGATTTACTGTTTGAAATTTGGGAAAAAGTCCCTAGTGAGAAAAATCCAAGACAATGGGCCAAGACATTTTCCATATGCCAGTGCTTTTAACTAGAAGACAGAGTAGGGAAGAATTTTCAGACTATTCTCCAAAGATGACATATGGAAGGACTAATATAACTTTGAGTCCTAGAAAACAAACTTCACTTTCCTAAGGCCATTCACAAAGGAGCCTGCGTGCTCACAACTCGAAGAAATCAGCCACTCAGCTACACCCTGATTTGGAAGTACAGTCAAGTATTTCCTACTTTCTCCTCAAACCTGATAAAGTTCTCCAACCTTACTCTCAGCTAGTAAACTGCTTCCTATTTCTTTAAGAAAAACAAACTGTAAAGACCTTCCCTAGGCTTTTGCCAACATACCTAACACTTTTCATACTCTGCTTTTCCTCTTTTCGCTACACATGAACTAACTCTTCATGCATATATTTTAAGCAAATACAACCCTTACATTAAAAATTTATCTTTTTGGGGTCGGGGATTTAGCTACTCAGTGGTACCGGTACCTGCCTCGCAAGCCCAAGGTCCCAAGTTCGATCCCTGGTAACCGGCCCCCCCCAATAAAAAAGAAGAGAAAAATTACATTTTTGCCCAAAGATACTGTCCCCAATATGTTCCCCCTTTCTTCTGGACCAATCACTTTTCCTATTTAACTTTATCCATCAGCATCTAAATATGTAATACTGTTATTTTCTCAGGGGAAAAAAATCTCGATCATAAAACTGCCTCCAACTATGGTGCCATCTTTTTTTTTTTTATTAAATTCTTTTATTGGTACATTGTAGGTATACAACACATTTACATTTCTCATTGGGAACGTGTACCTTTACATGATGCATCTTGGTTCTTATTTTTTCCACATTCCTAGCCCTCCCTTCACCCCCTCCACCCTTCCCTATTTACAAAGACTTTGTTTCCAATTTTTCCATTTCTCATCATTTTTCCTTTTCCTTCTTCCCTTTCCCCTGCCCCTCCCACTACCCCTACCCCTTTGGACCTTTTCTTCCTATTTTGCATTATCGATTATTCATTCTAATCATTGGTACATTTTAGGTATACAATATAATGACATTCTTCATTGGAAATTTGCGCCTTTACATAATCTCTCTTGGTTCTTATTTTTCACCCTTGGCCAGCCCTCCCTTCAACCCCTCCATCCCTCCCTATCTACAAAGATTTTGTTTCCATTTTTCCATTTTCTCATATTAATTCCATTCCCTTCTTTCCTTTCCCCTACCCCTCCTACTTCCCCTTTGCCCCTTTTCTTCCTATTTCACATTATCTATTATACATTTTTGTCCTTATTTACACTTTCAGTTTCTCAAACTAGAGAAACTATTTGGTATTTATACATGTGTGTTCTATTTATTTTACTTAAGAGTATCGCTTCAATGTGCATCCATTTAGCTATAAATGTCTCTAATTTCTCATTTTTATGGCTGAGTAGTACTCCATTTTATTTATAAAAAACCACATTTTCTTTATCCAGTCTCCAGTTGATGGACAATTGGGCTGCTTCCAAGTTTTAGCTATTACAAATTATGCTGCTATGAACATGGGTGCACATATATCACTGTGGTATGATTCTTTTAATTCTTTGGGGAAGATACCCAGCAGGGGAATAGCTAGGTCAAATGGGACTTCCAGTCCTAGTTCTCTGAGGTAGCTCCATACTTCAACGGTGCCATCTTTGTTGCCATTTACTCTCTCCAGTTCTTCTCTGCCCGATCAATCTTAAATTTTCTACAATCAAGCTCTTGAGAGCAGCTTCATGGCACATGCCTGTAATCCTAGCACTTGGGAGGCTGAAGCAAGAGGATGGCTGTGAGTTTGAGGCCAGCCAGGGCTACACAGTGAGTTCAAGTCCAGCTATATAGCAAGACCTTGTCTCAAAAAGCCAAACCAAACCAAAACAAAACAAAATGAGCCTTTTGACTCTATCAATCCAGGATTACTTTTAACACATTTATAATATCCTGTACTCTTAAATCTATCAATAGGTACTTGACCTATCAATAGCACTTGACATAGAAGACCACGCTCCTTAAAACATTTTTTGTGTACTTTCAGTGACACCATATACTGTATTCAGAACTCTCCTCCTACTTATCTAATAATTCATGGTGTGTCTCCTTAGACTCTTTCTGCCCTATAAACCTTAGCGAACCCCAGGGCTTAAATCTTAAGCAGTGATACTGCATCTACACATTCTCTTGTTTGTCTCCTTCAGTTCTCAGGTCTTTAAATACCATCAATAAATTGACTTCTGCCAAATTAATCTTTAGCATGAGCTTATCCCCTAAACCTGACATTGTCACTTATATAAAATATCTCAACTTTGCCAGGTGTGGTAGTGCATGCCTATAATCCCAGGACTCTGGGAAGCTAAGGCAAGAGGATCACAAATTCAAGCCTGGTCTGAGCAACTTATGGAGGCCCTGTCTCAAAATGAAACATAAAAAAAAGCTGGGGATGTGGCTCAATATGAAGGTCCACAGGTTCAATCCCAAGTAACAGAAAAACAAAATCTCAAATTCAACATGTCCAAAACTGAAATGTCAATATTCATATCAAAAGCTGCTGCTCCTCCCATGCCCTTTCCCATCTTGGTAAATGGCAATTTCATCCTTCCAGCTATCCAGGCCAAGATCATAGAGTTATAAAGTCACTTTTTCCTCTAGTCAAGATTAGTTATTACCTCATAACTGCTCTCTCATTTCTATGCATAACCCCTCAACAGCCCATTTTTCACACAGTGGTTAGAATGAACATTTAAAATTGATGTTAAACTTCATTCACATTTAAAGTGTAGTATTTACAAGGGCCCACAAGGCTCAAAATCTGATCTCTCCATCCTATTATCTCTCTGATCTCATTTCTTATTACTCTTCCCTTCACTCATTCCTGGCTTCTTTATATTAGCAAATTATGAAAGCCCCTGCCTCAGAACTTTTGCATTTATGATTCCTTCTGTCCAGCTGGCTCTTTCCCAATACTGTCATGGCCCACTCTTTCATCACATTTAGGACTTTGGTCACCTTCTGACTGGGACCTTCACTTCCTAACCATGTAAGTTCTTAAAAATCATAAAATTGTAATGCAATTCATCTACTTCCCCCTACCAACTGCTCCTTTCCTACTTTATTTTTCTCTATACACATATAATTATACAATATATTTTATTTATTCTTGATCTAATCTCACTGAGATGTAGGTACCAAAAGGTGATGATTTTCATCTTTGTTCATTTGTGTCCCCAAATATAAAAGAATGCTGGTTCATAAGTAAGCCATCTATGAAAGAATGAAACTGATACTCATTTAATTTTATGAAGCATGGCCCAATAACTTGCAGTGTTCATGCTCTCTTTATATCAATCAAAATATACAGGCAAACCTTATTATTTCTTGCCACATGCATGCCAAATTTCTTTTCAAACAGAAAAAACTCTGAAGTGACTTCAACAAAAGTTTTTAAAAATAAGGATAAAAATATTTGCAATTAAGGTTCGGAGATTTAGCTCAGTGGCACTGCACCTGCCTTGCAAGCGCAAGGTTCTGAATTCGGTCCCCAGTACTGGAAAAAAAAAATTTACAATTGCTTCCATTCAACATTTTCTTTCTAATAACATGTAATCAATCTTCATTTACCTTCCTGTACAGAATTTCCCCCTAAATGTACACTTTATGAAAAAGTCAGGTATAATATGTGCCAAATGTATATTGGCTATACTATTGTATTCCATGTGTCACCTTATTTCTACTTTGTTATCTTTAGACACATCTCAATAAGGCAAGTTATAAAGTATCGTTAATGTTGGTACCAATCTGACTAAAGATCCAAAATTAAAGCAGTAATTAGAAACCAAGAGCAGAAATGACAGAAAATAATACACATCTCTCTATTCTAGATGACTAGGACCTGAAGTAAATAAGTTTAGTACTGCCCACTTTAACACCCATATATGTATATGTAATCATTCTTGACCACAAAGACCTTCTAAGCTAGGATATTCTTTTTACATCAACATAAAGTCTTTGTCTATTTTTATTTGGAAACTCAATGGCAGAGATTACAGAAATTGTAATGTTTTGACCGAGTCTCCTGCAGTTCATATTTGTTAGTATCAAGTTACTGCTGATGATAATCCACTCTAGTGCATTTAAACAATCACATTTACTACTTCTAATATTACTAGCAACTATAATGAAGCAACAAAGCAATTTACAACTGAAGAAGCATATTTTACTGGAAGGCTTAACCCATGAAATGACAATGTGCCATACCCACCCTTTACATGTTAGGGAATACGACAAACCTATCCCAAAATAGCACTACTGAATCATAACATGCTGGAGAAATATAACTAACAAGAAGAACAGAAAAAAAAAAAAAAAGGGTGACAGTCACAGATTATCTGTCCTCTCATGACGGAAATTTTTATGACTGAGAAATCACTCAATCACGTTTCTCTAGTTGTTTAGATGAGGTACTGAAAACCTTTTTTTCAATAGTGTAAAAAGAATACCAGATCATAGGAACATAGTATTTGGCCTTTTCCAACTGAAAATTTTACTCTTAGAACTCTAGGGGTGGTCTGGGAAATCATCAGTGTAACAGAAAAGAAACTGAGATTCAAAGCACAGAATTATACCACATGATTAACAACTATCATTTATGCTTTTCAGCAAATATTCAGAAACAAATTTACATTTGACATCGCTTTGATGCCCTGTGAATTTAAAATGCAAAAAATTGAAGGCTGGTATTAATTGCTTATTACTAGGAATAGGCAGGGGTAGCAGGTGGTACTAGTAACCTTGAATTCCGTTCCTACATCTGAATATCTATAAAATGTAATCATCATCATATTTTCTAATACAATTTCAATTTCTTACTACCAATAGGTAGATGAGTATTTGATATTTAATGTTCAGAGTAAGAGAATCTAAGAGATAAAGAGTATATATGACTTCTACATGAAGTACAATGACATGAGTATATAAATAAGTAAAGACAGGGCTGCTAAAACCAAGAGCACAGGTTCGGTCTACATGTTTATTAATTAACTTATCCAGTCTCACTGCAACAAACTGTCACACACCCCTCAACCATGTATTCTGTATCAGAACAATATTACTAGTTGTTACAAGCTGATAACTTTTAAGAATCTCCTCCAGGGCTGGGAATTTAGCTCACTGGTTCCACCACCTGCCTCAAAAGTCCGAAGTCCCAAGTTCGATCCCCAGTACCAAAACAAAAAAGAGCAATAATCTCCTCCATATCAAAATCCTATCGATGCAGAGGCAGTATTTCATGAGGAAATTCATCTCGAGTTCCTGACTTCCCAATTCCTAAGCCTAGCTGTCCCCAATGCACATCCCTGATAGGTAAAGAAAAAAATATTTAATTTACACAGTGAGTGCACTGTTAGCTTTCATTCAGTCTATATTCATGATTTCATTTGCTTCTCACCAACCTATCAGAGGCAAATGGTAATTATTTAGTAAGTGCATAATACTAAACATGTAGCAGCACAGTTTGCAAAAAATATTCTCTGCACACGACACTCTAATCCTAGTTAACTCAATAAAAGGAACTTGTAATACAATTCTGTAAGTTTCACTGGAAGCTAAGTAGAATGTTCAAGGAGTGATTCTGCCAAACATAATAGCAGTGCCATCATCAAGCCTAGCAGATAGCAAAAATATTAGCCTCTGAGGGCATCCAGTAACACTCCCTCTTCCAAATGATGCCCTTGTAAAGAACAAGTAAATTACAAGGATGAAAGCTCAGATGACAACAGCCTACCTAGTCCTGGGACAGAAAAACTATAAAACAAACATCTCACATCTCATTACAGATAATTGTAGTCAGACTACTACCACAGGGATAGACAGCTCCAGAACTTCATTCCCAAATGTCGATTCCTGCAGGTGGTGAAACACAATCTACACGGTAAATCAACACAACTTCCAGGTACAAAGATTGACACCCTATTCTGTCACCAGCACCACTAGGACATTACAGTGAAACCAAACCTTACGTCTCTCCTAATGCCCCAATATGAAGCCTTCATCACTCATAGCCTTCAAAGTTCAACCAGGTCTTGACTTCAAGCTCCTAACACAGCAAACTATGGACAATTCTAAATGAAGACAAGAAAGGCTTCCTGCCCAACTAGCCCACAGCCCTGTTCAGCTAACAACCACTGTCCTTCAACCACAAGCTCACTCCACACACTTAGTCGCCCTGAGGACTGGGTCAACAAGGGAACGCTACCTGCCCAGGCTTGGCCACGACTGCAGGCTATCTTGTTCCCAAGCTCACCGCCAAGAAGGGCAGAGAAATATCAGCACAGTGTTCCCACACCTGGAATCCCAGATTGAGACTCTCAAAACCCAAGCAAGGGGAAAAGCCCAGCCCTAGACTGGTGCCGGACAGCAAGTCCCGGCCGCGGGGTCAACACTGAACTTCTCCTGTCCACCCGGAATCCCACGCGACCGCTCGCCCCTCGCCACACCGCGGCGGGAGGCGGCGCCCCCTGCCAGCCGGGCAAAGGATACCGTCCCGGCTCCAGAACGCCGCGGCGCCGGGGCGGGAGGAGCCAGACACGTCCGCCATCTTGAAACAACCGCCACTGGGAGCGCCGCGCCGGAGCCGCCACGCCCCGGTCTCCAGGCTCAGTCCCCATTGGCCGCTCTGCGCAGAGGCCCGCCCCCGCTTGAGCGGCCGGCAGCGGCTGGGTGAGAGGGTCCCGGCGAAGGGGAGGCGGGGTCGGGGAGGTGCGGTGTGGTGCCTGGCTCCGGGCTGCGGGCAGGAGCACCCCGCGGAGCTGCTGGGGCCGGACCAGCCTGGGTCCCCCATCTTCCCCCGCCGCGCTCTCAGGCGTCGAGAACTACAGCTCCCAGCATGCCGCGAGCTCGAAAGCCGAGGCACTGAGGCGGGGTCCCGGCCTCCTCTGCCCTGGTCCCAGCCGCGCGCCGAGCGGGGACGAGAGCCATGGAGGAGACGCTGTCCCCGCCGCTGAGCTGCAACAAGCCGCACCTGGAGAAGCTGACCCTTGGCATCACCCGCATCCTAGGTGAGTGGGGACGGAGGGGAATTGTGCCCGGACGAGGGGCTGTGGAGTAGAAGAAAGGCGTATGACACGAAGCTGGACCTTGAATATGGGTGGGCACGGGTGACCTGGGTGCGTGACTAGGCCGGGGAAGGGTATGCTGGCAGAGCTGGGAAGCCCGAACTTTCTCTTCTCCCATCCCCACTTGAGGATCCACCCCAGGGCTAGAAAGGACGGGTAAAGACCTGCAAAAGGGTCGGGTCTTCCAAAAGGCGTTCTCATCCAAGGCAGCGTGCTTGAAACTTCCCAAGGCAAGGACTGCTAAGAGCCTCCGTGTACAGCACCTGAGCTGCTCAGAAAGAGTCAAGCTTTTGCTACTGTAGAGGTTAGCTGTTCTTTTTAACAAATGTGTATGTTAGGCTCTGGGACTGTAAAGATACAAAAGACAGAATACTAGGTCTCTAGCATCATGAAAAGAGGTCAGTAATTATTATTGCTCACAGGTATTACAAAGGAGGAGGTCCCTGGCGTTTCTGAGAAATTAACATGTCCCAGAGAAGATGAAGCTAGATTTTCAAATAAAAGTTAGCTAGAAAACCAAAGAGGAGAAAGGCTGTCTGCGCAGGCTGAAAAGCGTGCTTCAGTGTCTACCCATCACAATTACAATAAAATCCAAATTTCTTTACCATGACCTCCCCATCCATGTATGTTCTGTTATCTTCTGTTTTCACTGTTTTGACTTCGGTGGCCATCTTGTTGTAAAGACTAAACTTGAACACACTGAGATCATTCCTGCTTCAAGCTCTGCAGTTTGCTTGGCTTTCCACCCGGAATTACCTTCTTCACAATGTCTCCCTCAAATCATTCACATCTCTAATAAAATTATCATTACCTCAGAGATGCCTTCCTAGAATACAGTTCTAACATCTCTCTTCCTCATACTCTTTTCTTGTCCTATTTTATTATAATCTTAGAAGCACTTATAACTACTGTACTTGAAATTATGTATTTGGTTGCTTTTTGCATTTGTCTCTGTTCTACAGTAGAAGTCCAAGACCAGGTGTGATTCATCCTAGAAATGTGTGGTTTGTTTAATATTTGAAAATCAGTTAATGTAATGCAAACTGTTTATAGACTAAAAGGCAAAAACCTCCTAATTGTCTCAATTGATGCATAAAAAGCACTGACAAAATCCAGCATCTTTTTGTGATAATTTTAAAAAAACTTAAATAGACTATTCTCATCGTAATAGAGGGCATCTGTGAAGAGCCAACAGATAACATCAATGGTGAAAGACTGGCTGCTTTACCATTCAGAACTGCAACAAAAGGCCTGTCTCTCTTGAGAGCCACACTCTATTTCTTTGAGTGTGTACTTTAAAAATTCTGCCTAATAAATTTCTTTATGCCTTTTACTGATGCGTACTGAGAATTCTTTTTCAGTGACAGAAGCCAACAAACCCGAAACTTGCCCCCTGGGTGGGGTGAGTCAAGATTTTTCCATCTCCACTTTGGGGACCTGCTTGGACCCTGTCCAGTGACATTTCCTTTGGCCATCCAGCCACAGGAGATAAGCAAAGCATCAAGACTACAATTTTGACTTCTCAGTCAAGCTGATGCTCATCTGTGCTATTATCAAAACATAATGTTGTGTATATATTCCTGACAACTCTGCAAATGTGTCTTGTGCATCATAAGACCTAAATCCAAAAAAGTATTGCAATGTCAGATTCTGCCTTAACTTTCAATGACATGCTGGTAACAACCCTGTCTTGCTTTGTCTCCTTCAGGTCAGAATGAAATTTTTTCTTCTGGCTATATAGGGTCAACACCCCACATTCGTCTGAAGTAGCAGTGCTTCAAGCCCTTCTGCAACCCCTAAGAATAAGGGATCAAAGTCTGGGGAGGGGGAGAATGAAGCAGGATAGATTAAAAAGGATTCAAGGAACTTGTAATATTAAAATTGTACTTTTTAAGAAAAACTGCAGCTTTGAGACAAATATTATCCAAGCTTTTTTCCCTTCCAGGAAAAATTCCTAAGGGCCTTAAAGACAGCGAGCCAGCCTATAAACTAGGCTCTGTGCCTATGACTTTAACCTGTAAATTGCAGTCCCTCTTACCAACCCCCATCCTCATCTGTAAACATGCTTCCTCCTTCCTACCAACCTCCATCTTCAGGAATCCTAAGAGAACAGCATATCTCAGCCTCATGTAAATTGACTACATTTTAACCCACCAAATGGGCAAAACCTGACAGACACTAGAATATACCTGGTAGATAGCCCGTTTTAGGAGCACCCCCAGTCTTCATAAATATACCTGGCTTAAGGCCACAGGGGGCCTCTCTCCCACTTGGGCCAGCACACTATTTCTTTGAGTGTGTACTTTTAAAATTCTGCCTATGGGCCAGGGATTTAGCTCAGTGGTTTCACCGCCTGCTACGCAAGCACAAGGACCCAAGTTCAATCCCTGGTACCAAAAAACACAAAAACAAAAACAAAATAAAATTCTGCCTAACAAATCTCTATACCTCTTTAAAAAAATAGCAAAAAAAAAAAAAGTGTCATAGGTCTCCAACACCACACCAGGCTTGATGATTCAGTAGGAGGAATATAGGACTTGGGAGATGGTCATACTCATGGCTGTGCAGAGATAAGGATAAAAAAGCAAAATTAGGGCCTGAGATTTGGCTCAGTGGTTCTGGTGCCTGCCTTGCAAGTGCAAGGTCCAGAGTTTGATCCCCGGTACCACCCCCACCCCCACCCCCCGCCAAAAAAGCAAAATTAGCTGAGGTAAAGGTGCATGTGGAAAAGTCAGGGAAACCAGGTACAAGCTTTTAAGAATTCTCTCAGTGAACCTACACGGGACATACTTAAATCATCCAGCAATGTGTTTTGACAACATGAATGAAATGTTGTCTACCTAGGAAGTTTACCTGAGTCAAGGAGTCAAGACCTTTTATTAGAAATCAGTTACATAGCAACTCTATCTAGCATGTACCAAAATTCCAGAATACCTAAAGAAAAACAGGTATTCAGCAAAAACCAAATTATTTGCACTAACAAGGCACAGTGAGCCATTCTTATCAGAGAATGATGGGACTGTTACTGAGATCCAACTTTGCAGGTGCCACCAAGGGCCAGCCTTACAAGTTTTTGAAGGATTGCAGTGTCAGGCTTACTATGTTTGATCTTTTGTGCATACGAATTCACTGTTACAGTGATTCATGCATACCCATCTTTATAACAGCACAATTCATAATAATGCTAACTTTTGGAAGCAGCCTGTACATCCATCAACAGATGACTGAATAAAGAAAGTATATTTATGGGCCAGGATTTAGCTCAGTGGTGCTGTTACCTGCCTCATAAGTGCAAGGACCAGAGTTCAATCCCTGATAACAAAAAAAAAGAAAGAAAATATATTTATACATAATGGAGTACTACTGTGCCATAAAGAAGGATAAATGAGTCATTTATAGGAAAATAGGTGTGCCTTAAGACCATAATTTAAGTGAAATAAATCAGACACAAGTTTAAATACTGTACGGTTTATCTTATATGAGAAACCCAAACTAGAGAGCAGAATAAAAAAGATAATAGGGAGTAGGAAAATAGATCTTTCTCAAATGGGAAGAGGTAATCAGGAGTTGGGAGGATGAGGGGAAGGGGATGAAAACAATTAAGATGTGTTATGTACACGTGCCAACTCCTCACAAGGAATATAATCATTGTGTACTGCAACTGTATTCATAAAACAAAAATAAATGAATAGCAGCTAGCTGCCAAAAAAGCAAAAGAATTCACTGTTATCACATCTATTCAACATTGTATCAGGAGTTCTAGCCAGAGCACTTAGAAGTAAAATAAAGACATCTGAATTGGAAAAAAACAAAGGAAAGGGCCGGGATTTAGCTCAGTGGTTTCACCGCCTGCTGCACAAGTGCAAGGAACTGAGTTCAATCCCCAGTACCAAAAAATAAAAATAAAAAACAAAGGAAAGATAATCTCTGCTTACAAATGATATCCTCTTGTATTTAAAAAAAAAATTATTAAGGAATTCACACAAGAGGGAAAAAAACCTAAACATTAGCAATGAAAAATCAAAGATAAAACAGGTCGACATTTAAAGGAATAAAATAGAAATAAGTTAGCATGATTTGTGCACTGAAAATAAAGACATATATATTTGTTATATATATATTAGTTTGGGTTTTTTTGAGACAGGGTCTCAGTATACAGTTCAGCTGGCCTTGAACTCACTGTGTAGCCCAGGCTGGCCTTGAACTCAAGGTGATCCTCCTGCCTCAACCTCCCAAGAGCTGGAATTATAGGCATGCACCACCATGCCCAGCTGTTGAAATATATTAAAGATCAAAATAAATGAGAAGCTATCCTGTGTTTATTTATATAAAGAGTTAACATCATTAAAATCCAAAACTAATGCCCAAACTTACCTACAAATCTGGGATCTACAAATAGTATCAGAATCTCAACTATCTCTTTTGCAAAAGTTGACAATTCTAAAATTAACATGGAAATGCAAAAGGTCTTAAATAGTCAAAACAATCTTGAAAAAAAAAAGAGGACAGTTCCTTTCACTCAATCCTTCCCTGTTTCAAAATTTACTGCATTTAAGTGGTTAAAAAAAGTTCAGGAGGTGAATAGTGGAGATGGTTGCACAACACCGAATTCTTGATACTACTGATCTATACACTTGAAAATGGTCAAAATGATACATTTTATGTTGTGTATTTTGCTGCAATAAAATAATTGGCTTGAAAGCTACAGTATTTAGAGTGTCAGTGACATAAAGATATAAATGTAGATCAATGGAATAGGCTTGAAATGCCCAAAATTATCACTTTTAGGTCCATTGATTTTTGATAAGAATATCAAGACTACTTAATGAGGAAAAAATAATCGTTTCAACAGATGGTGCTGTGACAACTGGATAGCCACATATAAAAGAATGAAATTGGACCCTTACCTCAAATCATATATAAAAATTAACTCTAAATGTATA